AGAGAGAGAGAGAGAGAGAGAGAGAGAGAGAGAGAGAGAGAGAGAGAGAGAGAGAGAGAGAGATGTCTGGCTGTCGGGTTGTGCCAATTTGTCAGTGTGTTTGGCACATGTACTGACATTGTTACTGGATGTGATGCAGGATCAGCTGCAGAACCTGACGTACCAAGACTGGCAACTAGAGTGTCAGACCCCGCAGCCTCCAACTCCATTTGAGGATGCCAGTTGCTCTCTTTCGGACACGCTTGGTGAACTTCGTTTCATCGCCAAGAAACTATCTGCCTCCAGTGAGATCGCTGTATGTACCTTTATACTTCCAGAGCAGCCCCCATCCTTTCCAGGACCATTACTCTTTCCCAGCAGCAGTACATTCCCAGATCACCACCCGTGCAGGGGTATCCTTCCTTGCGTGCACTTTTTCTAGCGAAGAAGAAGCATGCACATGATGTCCTGAGTCTCTACAAAGAATTTCTCAGCATCTGTTTACGGGAATCGAACCCGGGACGGCTTTACAAAGAAAAATATCCTCCCTTCAACACATTGGGGGTTCCTGAAAGGGAATCGAAAGAGCAAAACCGCCCTTGTTTGTCAGTTTGTTTGTTTGTCTGTCTCTCGTTTGCTGTCCTCTAGGATCTCTCTCTCTCTCTCTCTCTCTCCAGCTTCCCCCCCAATTCCCCCACCTTCGTAATTGCAGTTAAAGGGACATGATTTTGTGGAAATATTGGGGCTACAGTTTGTTTGTTTGTCTGTCTCTGGTTTGCTGTCCTCTAGGAGATCTTGCCCCTCTCTCTCTCTCTCTCTCTCTCTCTCTCTCTCTCTCTCTCTCTCTCTCTCTCTCTCTCTCTCCCCCTCTCTCTCTCTCTCTCTCTCTCTGTGTCTCTCTGCCCCACCAGCTTCCCCCTCAATTCCCCCACCTTCGAAATCGCAGTTAAAGGGACATGATTTTGTGGAAATATTGGGGCTATGGCAGGTTGTGAATGCCTTCTCACCCTTTGTGGTTGACGTTTTCACATCCAATGTGTGGTTTCACATCCAATCTTGCAGGTGGACTTGGAACATCACAGCCATCGCACATTTCAAGGAATAACTTGCCTTATGCAGGTAAAGGGAGGGGTTCAGATAGTCATCACACGAAAGACACGCCTGCTTTGTCTTCTTTTCCTTGTGTCCCTCTGTTTGTGTGTATGCGCGTGTCCTTTTGTATGTGTGACTGCGTGCGCTTGTGTATGGGTGCCTGCGTGCCTGTGGGGTTTGTGTGTGTGTGTGTTTGTGTGTGTGTGTGTGTGTGTGTGTGTGTGTGTGTGTGTGTGTGTG